TTTACGTAGTATTCGCGATGAAAGAGCAAATAAGTAAATAAAATATCAAATTGGAGCTTCTAAAATCGACCTGAATTTTTTAGAAACTCCACACCCTGCGTACAAATGTTGCGCGTTTCATTCAAGCGTAACTGTCTCGAGTTTTTGCAATAAAAAAAAAAGTAAACAGAGAAGTGAATTTTTCAAATTGGAGCTATGATCGTATTTTTAAGCGAATTAATTGTCCGCGTTACCTTTTAATATTCCCTTGTCTTATCCATCTCTTCGCGCCGACGAATTTCATTTCGTTCTGCAATTCGCGTAGGAGCGACGCGATGTGCGAATAATTTTCACAAAGTTTCACAACGACACTCGCACAACACACCGGAAGCGTCAGTATATTGCACAGCTGGTTTAGTAATTGCATAAAGGAGAAACCTCGGTTTTGATTAAGATTTCATTAAGAAAATTTGCCATCTGATATGGATCCCATCGCGCAAAAGAACTAATTAAAAAGAAAAAGGAAAATATTTTCTAGCCTCAAGTAAAATTACGTTATTGAGGCTATAACATGTGTTCCTTAAGTATGCACATTTATTTCGCGATTGATACAACAAAAAGCTAACGCCCCTCGCTAAGAAAAACTTAATTATATAATTCGCGTTACATGATTTTCCATGTTACAAACGAAATAATCGCGCGCGAGTTTATCCTTTTGATTTGTAATATTAAAAATATCTAGTCCGATTTAAATACTCGGGATTTTGAAGTATAAAAATCTAAGATTAATTTAAAACAAAATAAAATAACGAAGAATCCCGCAGATCCCGCACGATTCTTTAATCTTTCTTTCGCGTTGATAAAGCGTTGGTACTTTTATCCAAGATTTTAATAATTTAATAGAAAATAAGTAACTTTTAATTCAATTTGAAACGAAATAAGATAACGAAGAATCACTATAATCTTTCAATCTTTCTTTTATTAACAAAACTTAATGCTTTTATCCAAGATTTTAATAATTTAATGAAAAAGAAGTAAGTTTCAATTAAATTTAAAGCGAAATAAAATAACGAAGAATCATGCGTGACTCTTCAATCTTTCATTTGTTAAAAATTTGATGCTTTTATCCAAAATTTTAATAACTTAATGAAAAATAAGTAGATTTTAATTACTCACTATCTCGAGGCATCCACCTAATCTAACGATAGATCATAGACAGCTTCAACCAGTCGCGTGCAGCGCACCTACGCATTTCAGGTATCGACGTCACCTGTTTTTAATCGTTGTTTTCCGCAGCTCACGTATCGTCTGTAAGCAAAAAAAGATTTACCTCATTTAAAAGACTTTCGAGAGTGGCGGGTAAAAAACTTCCTCGGTAGTTTGCGAGTTCGCGGTTATCCAATCGCGCTCTTAAGCATTCGTTTCCTTATTCGGTTCCTTATTGCGTCCCATTGTCCTCGTCGTAATGTGCTCTCTCGCCTACCTATCTGCGGGCTAACATACAACAGGCCTAGATGCTTCCTAGGTTCATAAAAGAATTTCTCCGGCCCTTCCTCCTGCGACCGTATTACGCAAAATCGATACGCAAAAAGTCCTGAGTGAATATCGTGACGCACCTCTTTTGTAAACGTCATCGTGCACTCGCTATTTTAAACGTTATTACGTCAAGGAATATGCAATACTTTTATACATTGATTACACGGCTATTTTACACGTTAACATCGATTTATGACGTAGACAACGTAAGGCGACGTAATAAGCGTTCCAAGTTTATATCCCATTCAAGAGAGAGATTTTTAATGAAACTCTACAAGATATTCCGTGTAATATAATGGTGCTTTTAATAAAACTCGATAATGCGGATTTTTTGTTATACAATTCGGTATATAAAAGAAGAATCGTCGCTATAGATACTTATAAAGAAAACAGCACAATTTCAACTCCAATTTATAAAAGAATGCAATAGACTTTCAATATAATAGCGATAAGTGAGATTTCTTATTGTATAAATTCTTTTAGTATGAAATAATTATTCTCTATTCTTGAGAATCGCCATTGTACGGCTCACCTTGTTGTGTTACGCAACCGGCGAAGTTGCTTAGTAATATTTCAATGTGACAAATGATAAATAACATCAGAACTATCGAAAAGAAAGGCACCGACCTTTTTGGTGTCGTCCAACGTTGTGGGAACATAGTGGGCATTGATCGCTTGCGCCATAGTACAGTAGTCACGATACAGAACATATTGATCCTTCAACCAACGTCTAATCGCCAAAACTCTCTCCCGAAACTGATCGTCCGGCTTCAATTCCAAGTTGTTTACGTCTGAAAGAAAAAGAATATTCCTTACTTTCGAGACACGCGAATAAGCCGAGAGTATATACGTGCAGGATATATTTGAGAATATATTTCAAATGCATTTGTGCATAATGCCTCTATTTAAATGCGAAATGAATTTAATGCATTCGTCATACGACTCTACGCCGCTATCGGTCTACAGTCCTCATTGTTCCGATACAATGCGGATTCCTTCTATTCAATGCTAGAGTCGCAATTGTCGGCGCATTCGCCGCGGCACGACTCACCACCTCGGGCACGTTCATTAAGATGACATAAAATGAATCGAAATGGAAAAACGCACGAATGGAAAAATGTACGAATGGAATCTTTAATTAAACAGAGGAATTTTTAATTCAAGATAAACACATAGGCAATATAATAATTGTCGACCTACTTATCGCCGAGAAAGAAAATAAAGGAATCTTTTTATCGAAACTATTATAGAAACCAAATAGTAATAATCGACATTATAGTTATCCATAAATAATTATACAAGTTATTATTTATAAATATAGATTTGTGAAAGATGTCTTTGTTCAAACTTATAAAATTACCAGGCTGCGTAAATTCCGCGATTTTCGGGAATTCCAGAGGTCTGAAATAGCTGCGAGTGGAGCCCGACTCTAGTCTTAAGTCTTTCAGTCCGTGTAGATATTTTTGGAGATCTTCCCGTTCTTGCTGCAGTCGCAGTTCGACAATCCGCTTCTGAAGTCCGCGCGTTTGTTTTCCGTCAAGCCTCGAAGCTTTGTCTTCCTTACTACCTCCCGTGTTGTCGCGAGCTCCGGCTGACTTTGAATTCATTATTCTCGCTCTTTTCTTCTTCCCTTTGGTGTTGTGTTCGCGACAATTGTGATTAGACTGAAAACGTTATTAGAGATGACGAAGTAGCGGCTTTTCTTGCCAAAATACGCATTATGTAATCATTGCATAATGATTTCTCGACAAAAATATATATTTAAACACCTGGGCTTTCAATGAGTTATTTATGTATTGCCAAACTAGCATTCAATCGCGAAATGAAAACTTAGAATAATAACTACAAAAAATTTCCATTTAAAAAATCTATTATTTAGAAAAATTTGATAGAAAAAAATAGAAGCTACACTGCGATATTACATAAATCAATACAGATTGTGCAACGCCAATACTTGCCTCTTTATTTTTCTCCGAAGAGCGGCAATTTTCGTTTTCTTCTTTCGCCGTCACTTTTCTCGTTTTCAACGGATTCCGGGTTTCAGACACGGTTTTGCAGACGGAGGGGCTTTCCGATGCTTTTAACGCGACTTTCGCGCTCGCGATAAAATCATGTCTCTTGGCCAACGCGTCTCTGTGCGATTTTCGCAGCACATATTCGACGTTCTGTGAAATCCGTTGATCCAAGCTCTCCTCGAAAACATGTTCTCTCCCCTTCACGTTCGCCTCTAACGACGAATTAGATTTTGCCGACTTGATCGAGTCCTCGTCGCTCGCCACCGGCAATCCGGTGACATCTATCATCGCGCGTTCCCTCGCTCTGTTCGATGCCTTCCCGCGCTCTTTCCGGCCGCTTTCTTGCCGGACAGTAGTCATCCTCGGAGAGTTTTTCCTCTCATCTGTCTTCGTCACGTCGCCGGTCGACGACTCCGAGAAATCCGATGTGTTCTTATTGGAACTTCCGACTGAAAGATTCGTCAGACCGATTGCATTATCATCTTAAAATCATCGTCAGGACGATAGAATTTCTTGATTAACAAGAATCTTAAGGCAAAAAAGTATTTTAATAAATATTTAACATTATCTACTGTAAAAGAACAATTATACCGCGGCGATTGGATGATGTATTGTTCTGCAATTTAATTACGGTTCACAAATAATGTATAAATATTTTATTAACCTGATAAATTAGTTATTACATACGCGTAGTAATGAAGTAAATCATAAATTATAAAACTTTACTAATTGCCAATATTCTCACTTAATGTTGTCTCAGAATTGAAAATCTTTGTGTCAGTTACAATTGAATATCTATTTACTTGTTCCATTTGAATTAATTTTTTCACAAAATTCTATTTTGAAATAAACCTAATATCTTGACACTACGTTGGAGTAACTCCAATTCTGACGCTGCCATCGATTATTTATAACGTTTTATTTATTTTACCACTTGAAATGTTCTCGTCTCGAAACGACGCCTCTCGACGCTGATAACGTTTCCTCTGGTTCTCCGAACTCGAACCAGCGGATTGTGGCAATTTTATCGAGCGCGCGGTAACGTTATCTGGATTTGCGACGATGCTCTCGAAGCCGTTGACGTAGTTCGACGATCCCGGATCGACCTTGGTTGAACTTGGTTTCGGCATCGGATTGAGTGTGATGACTAGCCCGTCCCTACGGCCGAATAAAACATTCCGCAAAATTATTTTCACGTTGATAAAGGTTTGGTCGTTTCAAAAATATCGACGGTCATACTTGTGATAATAAATCACTGATAACTATCACGGCATATGCCATGAGCTGTTCAAACTTTTTCCGCTGTTAAATTAAAGCACTCTACAAACTTATGTATAACAATATGTTTCGAGAATCAATCATATTTGCAGACTTAATTAATTATATTTAATTAATTATATTTTAATTTCTATAGAAATAAAATTAAGTTGTTAAAATTGGCAATAGACATTAATTGTTCTTATTCATTGTCTTTGTTATTATTATTGAAATAATAAAGTTCGTTAATGTATATATAATCATAATAAAAATTAATATATTTACGGAAGATATTTATTGAGAAAGTAATTGGTAAATAATAATATGTTAAACTACCTGTGCTCCTTATTATTGTCTTGATAAGACCTGTCGACCTGTTCTACAATGTCGATTTTCTTCTCGCTAGATCCCACTGCATCGACCACTTCTTTCTTTCTATTAATCATTTTCTCGCGCTGT